TTGGGCATCTAAAGATATTCTTTTTGAGGCTGACCTGCTCCCACTTTTTATAAAGTTATATAGATTTGTGTTCCTTCATAGCTTGCACCTGCTATTCCCTCTCATTGGAATACTTTTTGTTTATCTGGTTAACTCGTACTGTTCTTGAAGGCTGAACTAACAATTGTCTCCTCTTAAAAGCAGGCTGATCTTCACCATCCTGAATTAGGTAGCCCTATTCCTTCTCTTCCATATTAACCTTAACTATCTGGGCTACATAGCTCTGGGTAGCATTGAATGCAGGGACTTGTAATCATATCAAAGACTAAGATTTGTAAGGGCAAGGGGCACCGTGGCTTATCTCTCTGTATGTCCACAGCACCTACGATGGTGTTTAGGACCTAGCGAGCACTTAGGAAATTGCTATCAAATGAAAGGATCTGCTTGCTAGTCAGCATCCAGTTAACAGCAGATTATAAGCAACAAATTAGGAGAAGCCAGGACTGAAGTAAGCGTAGTGAGAGGAAAGAAATGAAAACCTGACAGAGAAAAATATATTAAGCAGACACCAAAACTTGGAACATGCAGCAGCCTTTTAATACCAAAGAAATCAACCCGAATATACCGCTGAAGTTCCTGAGGGTGCTTTCTGTTCTATAACGTAGTTCTTTAATTGATATCCACAATGACAACTCTGAGTCATCCAGAAAAGGTTAACTTATGTGCAGCATTCTGTGTAAAAGAAGTCAGGAAATTGTAGAAAGATAGCCACACAAAATTATTAAAGTAAAAAGCGTTGTGTGCATAAAGATTCAAATCCTAAAGTATTGAAAATGTAGCTATTCAGAACAACACCCTCCCTGAGATTCTAGGTACGAAGATTTTATTATATTATCAAAATATATTTAAATATATGTCTGAAGTATCTGAAACAATGACATTTAATTTGGTTTGGTAACTGGTTTCCTGTTCTCAGAAATTTGTGGTCAAAGTCATAAAAGTAAAGTGCTCACAAAGAAGGAAAAAGATTAACAGCAAAAACAAGGAGTTTGAGGAAGTTGGTATGTATTAAAGATTAACTTCAGTCCTCTTCACAATCTACTGAGATACATGAAATAAAAAGAGCATTCCTCTATATTCTATAACATAGTTTTTTCTCCATCATCTATGAGCAAATTCTTGAACAAAAAGACATGCATCTTCCCCAAGAATGAACACTGATTCTCTAGAAATAGGTAGTCTTAAATCCAGATGAATGGAAAGAACCTCCTCAGGATGGCTGGGAATGGCCATGGTGGCTGCAATTATTCCCAGAGTGAGGCCCCAATTTTGCGTTACTTGACTCTTTCTTGTATGGGAAGTGGTAGGAGTCAAGTTGAGTTTCAAAACATCATCCGTACCATTAGCGAGTACCTGACTGGTGCCATGGAACCAGTGCCCTGGATGGTACCCTGAGTTCTTGCCCTGTTTTCCCCTCCTGTCCATCAGAACAAGGCTGTTAATGAAAGTAGGAGGCTTAGCTCCCATCACTTCAGCTTCTTTATATTACTTGAGGAAGCAAAATGGGACAATACAGAAATAAAGACATTTCTCTAGCCAGGTCCTTCTAACCAGTAGAGTTTTCACTGACCTATTATGTATTTTAAATGAAAATATTTTCACCACCAGAACCCTGAACTTAATCTCTTCTATTGTTGGGGGAGGAAGGGAAACCATAATGATCTGCAGCAAAGATACATCCCCGATACATAAGCTACAGCAACTCCTTTATCCTTCTCCATCCCAACTGAGTTTGATGAACTTAATGACACATTCTCTCTAGCTGGACCAGAAGATCTCTAAGGTCCTTTTAAAACTCTGAACTGGCCAGGCACAGTGGCTCATGCGTGTAATCCTAGCACTTTGGGAGGCTGAGGCAAGAGGATCACTTGAGGCCAGGAGTTCGAGACCAGCCTGAGCAATGTAGCAAGACCCCATCTCTACAAAATAAATACATACATAAATACGTACATAAATAAAATAAAACTCTGAACCACAGTTCTGAGCTCTAGATAAGGTATTACACAATCTTCAAAGTAAAAATTATCTTGTACTCAGTATGATGAAAGAGAGAGAGACAAGAGGGAGGAAGGAAGAGAGGGGACTGGGCCTGCATACATCTAGAAGAGCTGCCAAGTCTAGTGGGCAGTGCCCCATCCCACTGTAATTTCCCTATAGGGTACAAGCCTTTCATTCCACAATAAAAGGAAAGACTCCTTTTAAGATATTGAGTTAAAGATGGTTACTAATGTGCAAACAACTGGTATCAGATTCCTCCCAGAAAGCTAGTTTTAGATAGAGAAACAAAAGAAAAGATCAAAGCAGATTGAATGGGAGGAGCTTCATGATTTTGCTTTGGTTTGTGTCATATATTTGCTCTCCTTCAAACATTAATGTTAGGAGGAAACTAAAAATTCATATTATAAAAAAACATTACTAACCCTTGTTAATTGCTACAGTCCATAAAATCAACTGAACAGGATTTCAGATTCAAATACATATTCCAAACAATAATTCTCAACATTAGGTTTCACTGGGGAAATTTCCATTTGTCAGTCAAAAGTAATCTTTTTTCCACGGATTTCTTTTTCACTCCTGCCCCCTCCTCTCCCTGCCTCTGCCCCTGCCCCTCCCAACTCTTTCCTGAGCAGCTACAGACTCTGCCTGATGACTCTTCCACCTGCCTCTGAACTATACTTTTAGTGACTTTCAAACGTGTAAAATTAGAAAATTTAAACTTATTCTTGAAGCGAGAACTATATAAATACCTACTGTGTAGCGTGCAGAATTCAACAGGAAATGTCAGGGTTGCAAGACAAAGTACCTATCCTGGGCTCAGTATTTTCAAAAGGTGATTAGATAAATAATCTTTTTTTCCTTCTGTGAACTTGATTTTATGGGGAAGGGGGAGGTGGTGAGAGA